TTTGGCAGGTCCGGGCTGGGGATTCGAACCCACCACCTTAGGTGTACGTGGCTGGCGCCTTAGCCGGTTGAGCTATAGGCGCCGAGCCAAAATTATTAAATGACTATATAGCAAATGAAGAAATATTTACTGAAGAAGATATTTTCCTTTAATGTTTTTCTCTAAAATGCTACTTACATCTAGTAACTTGGTAAGAAAACCGAAGAGTCTGTGGTACTTGAACTAAGGTCTCTCCCAGCTCACTAAGAAGAAAATCACAATCCAGAGGAGGTGTACAGAGGAACACAAGGCTCCCTCTCCTCCAGTTACTAGAGGGATATCTTTCATAAGAGACACAGTGTCAGCATTTCTCAACTTGCCCCTAGCTACATGTTGCTGAGGCTAAATTACAGGTGACTCCAAAATACATAAAGCAAAAACTAATGAAAATGAGAGAAAAATAGATAAATTAAAAATGAAAGTTGGGCTCAGCACTCATAACTCAGTGAGTAGGGCACCAGCCACATACGCTGAAGCTAGCAGGTTGGAGCCCAGCCTGAGCCTGCTAAAACAACAATGACAACTGCAGCCAAAAAGTAGCTGGGCATTGTAGAAGGTGCCTGTAGTCCCAGCTACTCGGGAGGCTGAGGCAAGAGAATCGCTTAAGCCCAAGAGTTTGAGGTTGCTGTGAGCTATGATTCCACAGCATGCTACAGCACTCTATCAAGGGCAACATAGTGAGACTCTATCTCAATAAAAAAATGAAAATTAGAGATTTCAATACCCCACTTTCAATAATGGGCAGAAGCATGATCAATGAATAGAAGGCTTGAACAACAGATAAACTAGATGTAACAGACATATATAGAACACTCCATTACCAACAACAGAATGTACTTTCTTCTCAAATGCATGTGTCACTTTCTCCAAAATAGTACATAAAACAAACTTTAATAAATTAAAAAAAAAACAGAAATAGGCTGGGAGTGGTGGCTCATGCCTATAATCCCCACCTCTTTGGGAAGCTAAGGCAAGAAGATAACTTGAGCCCAGGAGTTCAATATTAACCTGGGCAACACAGCAAGCAAGATCCCACCTCTATAAGAAATACATTAACCAGGGAAAATAGCACATGCTGAAATTCTAGCTACTTTGGAAGCTGAGGCAGAAAGACCGCTTGGGCCAGGAGTTTGAGGTTGCAGTGATCTATGACTGTATACTCCAGCCTGGCCAACAGAGCAAGCCCGTCTCCGAGATTTAAAAAAAAAAAAAAA